TTCTTCCCCCTTTCTCTCGTTCTCCTCCCTTCTTCCTACTTTCTCTCGTTCTCCTCCTTCTTCCTACTTTCTCTCGTTCTTCTCCCTCTTCCCACTTTCTCTCGTTCTCCTTCCTCCGTCCTCCTCTTTCTCTTTCTCTTCCTACTATCAGTTACCCTCTCGCACATCGTTGCAGATCGACACGAGCGTTGGCAAGCTAGCAGGCCGCTACCTCACCGAGCCGCTAGTAGACGAGATCAAGCGCAAGCATCAATACTTCCTGCGCGACAGAGAGCTGTTCGGCTCCATCTACAACATGATCAGTGACTATGAGAAGGTGCTGCTTGGCACCTACCGCTCGCCGACGCAGACGGCTGGCAACACGAGCCGCGTCGGCGTCATCGTTGCCATCATCAGCGTCGCCGTCTTCATCGTCGTCGTCTCGTCGCTGCTGATCGTGCGACACCTGCAGCCGCACATGAGCCGACGTGCGCGCCGCGATCAAGCGTCGCTGCCGGCTTCCGGTTCCGGGTCGGCGATTTCCGGCGCCATGTGGCGTCGTTCGCAGGATAACCTCGACGGACGCATTGACATTCGTGGGCAGCGAACTACGGGGCCTAAGATCCAAGCTGCGGCCACGCCTGCAGCCAACTGGACAGGCATGGGCCGAGCTTGACAGCGTTTAAGCGTGGCCAGAGCCGTATATAGCGATATCTCTAAATACGGTTCTAAGCGTGGCTATTGCTCCGTACGGCAATGACGCCGGGACGGAATCGTCTGCGGGAGTTGCGGCGCGGGAGAATTCCTTTCCTAGTCTTCGGTGCCTTTCCCCCACGGAAGCAAAGCGGTGCGGATCTCATTGCCAGTGTTATAGTCCCCGCGCACGAAAATACGCCGTGCTTCGTACGTGCCCGTGCGCTCGACGACTAGGAGGTTCTATGCGCATGCGCGTGACGTCACCGGGCGGTTTCGATGCGGGCGACCAGCCTCCGTGCGCTGGAGGGAGGGAGCGGACCGTCGCACACGCACCACGGACAACCGTGTGAGTGCCACCCACACCCACCCCACCCGTGTGAATGAACACCTGTTTATTATAGTCTGGGTCGAGAGATATAAAAAAAATCCGAGCGATTGCATTCGACGCGTCCTTTCTCCATGGCTGTGGTGAGCACCCACACAGGCACACGCGCAGTACGGGAATTGACAGCCACCCGACGAGTCTCTATATTCGATTGCCGCAGCCTGTGCGGATAGAACGGGGTGCGTAACATCACTCGTCGATTTGTAATTTAAATTTTGATTTGTAAACCGCTACGAAAAACTCGGAGAAGTTCTGATCTCTCGCAGCAGGCGCGCATGCGCAGGGGCGCACAGCCAGCAGTTGCATATCCTATCAGGGGTTAATAATGACAAACAATAACAATATATTAGGGAGTGAATAATAATAGAACATATACATATGTACATCCTATATGTGATGATATGTACATATGAACATATATATGTACATCATACATCACAGAACCTATTATTATTCACTCCTGAATATATGATGACAACCAACAACAAAAACAAACAAATAACAAACAATGACAAATAACAGGGGTTTATAATTTGTCATTATTAACTCCTGGTCCTAGCCATCAGTTACGCGTGGCATGCAATGATTTCTCCCCGTCGTCACCGATGAGCTGCTAGTGTCGTATGATGACCAGTAAGAAGTAACCAAACGCTCGGCACTCGGCGCCCTTCGGCCGATTCCGTATCTCCGTCTATCCTCGGCCGCCATTCTCACCACGTGACTACTGGATTTTGCTTTGCGCTGCCATAACAAACAAGTGAGCGATTTTCATCTCTGTGGTGAGATTGCTGAACCACACAGCCTGCCATCACCGTTAATACTCGAGTTGGCCACGCCGGAAGTAGATAGCATTGTGACAAAATGATTACCCCAAGCAAAATATCGGTGACATCGTAAATAAAGGCGTAATCTTCGTTCCGGAATGAAATGACATTTTGAAAAAAGCTTGAAAAAACCGAGTTAGGAACTTCGGGATGTAGTTTCTTGTCGATAATGCAGTGTAACTTCCGGCGGATCGTGAATTTCAGAGCGTGGTCATCTAGATCTGCGTGAGGTAGCCGCGAAGGAATGACGAAAAGACGGAATCGTCTGGTGTTTGTCTATATTATGCGCGGTAGTTGCAAAGTGGCCGATTTATATAGCACTCTTGATCGCAAACGGGTATATATCTCTATATATGGACATCCTATATTCGCCGAAATTCAACCCGCAAATACATTTTAAACTTCTATGACGCGATGACTGATCAATAATATTTTATCTTTCGCTAAGATATAGTTTTACAGTGTTTTTATTAACGAGAAAAAATATTTTTGTTAATTCAAAAACGTAGTGTATATCGTCATCGGCTGGTGTTGTCAACGAGGTGCATATAGGGTAGCAGTCACGTCATGTGCGTGCATGTGTGTGTGTATATTCTCTATTTAGTATTGAGTAACATCATTGCGGCTCACACACACACACACACACACACACACACACACACACACACACACACACACACACACACACACTGTGGTGAACGGCCGCTGCGAGCGCGGCGATCGCCTACGCCTACATCCGACCGCTGTGAGGTCTTCTATCTATATAGGATGGAAATAGCTAGGATCAGGTGAAATCACGGCGTATTGCACGTAGATATCCTTGGCAATGTGCATTGGATAGCCATGGTATTTCCATTAGGAATTCTTCAGTCCTGGGTGATAAAAAAGTAACACATTTTAAGTGTTTTTGCGTGTGTAAATTATAGTCCATTTCTCTAACAGAGCTCTGAGGCTGTCATCACTGTTCATGCATGTATACTTCATGTACTAATATAACATTGAGCTAATTAGCTTATTTATGTCAGCATGCAATTATTTCGCGTCAGTTTAAATACTTGCGGGCGAATATATTGTTATTATATCACAGCAGTAGATCTCGCATATCTAAGCTTGAGGCAAATCCAGTTTTCAGTATTATTCTTTGATAAATTATGTATTATATATGCTGCATACTAATCTTCTTCGCTAAAAATAGATAAAAAAGAAAAAAATACTACGTGGATTTTGACAGGTCGTTTAGTTGAGTGACGCCGTTGCGTGTGCCGCCCCCTTGCGGCGATAACGCTCCTTTATATTACACAGTACTCGATTTTGATTTGTAAAAACTGCGCGGCGAACAATATTAATAATTTAACCGAGAGTGAGTGGTAATACTTCGGTTTTCGCGTTTATTTTCATTTGCTGATACATTATTCATGTGACATGTATAGCAATCTTTTCTTCCTTCTCAATATCATTTAGAGTTCGGAGTGCTATCGCTTTAATTATGAGCTATACATGTGTGAAAGTAAACGAGAATAGCGTATGTAGTAGCATAGTAGTAGCAGAGCCAGTAGTAGCAGTAATGTTGTTGACCACGAAAGTAAACGCAGGTTGATCCTCCATTATTATTATTACACCGAAATTATAAATTATGAGAAAATAACACCGAATGCTACATTATCAACCTACGCTGTATAACTATTTTCTGTAAATAAATTCTAATTTTCTGTAGAGGAAAAGGAGAGCACGAGACAGAGATTTTCGTTGAGAACCTGAGAAAGCTCTGGCACATAGGCTTGTGCGGGGAGGACATCGTTATCTTCTTCAACGAACAGCGAGACGAGGTGAGCTCCTGTTCTACCTCCACAATCATCGTGTGTGTGTGTGTTAAGACTAATGTTAAGACTAATGTTAAGACTAATGTTAAGACAAACTTTGTTCCAGAAAATGGTTTACGAAGAAAGATGGGTGTTAACACTAATTATTAGACTAATTTTGTTTCTAACAAGATTCTACGAGGAAAAGTTCATGTTACGGCTAAAATTAAGACATTAATTTTGTATCTGACATGAGGTGTCCTGGGATTACTCGTGTAAGTGGCTCGACCAACGCTCGACCCCTGATAATACTCGATCCGAATATTTAGTCTTGTTATCGATCTTGTTCAGGGATTCTCTCCTGCTTTCCTCGGCTAGCCAACCTTCCATCGCATTGCTCCCTCCCCAGACATCCTTCTCCCCATCAGTTTCTGTCTCTTTTCCTTTAGGTCTGCTCTTTATTACCCTTCCAACAGCTTCCCACCTCCCTTACTGCCTAGCAAACTCTCTCCATCAGCCTGTCCTCTCTTATTGTCTTTCCTCTCCCTCAGCCTCCTCTCTCCCTCCGCCTCCCCTCTCCCTCCGCCTCCCCTCTCCCTCAGCCTCCCCTCTCATTCAGCCTCCTCTCTCCCTCTGCCTCGTCTCTCCCTCAGCCTCCTTTCCCCTCCGCCTCCTCTCTCCCTCACCTCCTCTCTCCCTCACCTCCTCTCTTCCTCCACCTCTCTCTCCCTCATCTCCCTCTCCCTCACCTCCTCTCTCCCTCCGCCTCCCCTCTCCCTCCCTCTCCCTCACCTCCTCTCTCCCTCACCCCCTTCCTCTCTAGCATCAGCTTCTACTGCTAATCGCTGTGTTTACGTGCGTGTCGTCGCACGAGCGAGCGAGCAGACAATCAGACAATCAGACAATCAGACATACAGACAATCAGACATACAGACAATCAGACATTCAGACAATCAGACAATCAGACATTCAGACAATCAGACAATCAGACAATCAGACATTCAGACAATCAGACAATCAGACATTCAGACGATCAGACATTCAGACAATCAGACAATCAGACATTCAGACAATCAGACGGTCAGACATTCAGCAATGCTGTCACACCGTTAACGGCCCGCCTCATGGCAGGCACTGATTTGTCAACAACGCACACACGCGCACACGTACACGTACACGCACACGCACACACGCACACATACACGCACACGTACACGCGCACACGTACACACGCACACGTACACGCACACGCACACGTACACGCACACGTACACACGCACACGTACACGTACCCGCGCACACATACACGCACACGTACACACGCACACGTACACGTACCCGCGCACACATACACGCACACGTACACACGCACACGTACACGCGCACACGTACACGCACACGTACACACGCACACGTACACGCGCACACATACGCGCACACGTACACACGCAACGTACACGCGCACACATACACGCGCACACGTACACACGCACACGTACACACGCACACGTACACGCGCACACGTAGTGTGCGCGTGTATGTGTGCGCGTGTACGTGTGCGTGTGTACGTGTGCGTGTATGTGTGCGCGTGTACGTGTGCGTGTGTACGTGTGCGTGTGAATACACGCGCACATATACACGCGCACACGCACACGTACACACGCACACGTACACGCGCACACATACACGCGCACACATACACGCACACGTACACACGCACACGTACACGCGCACACACATGCACACACACGCATCCCCTCCACACCACACGAACAACACAACACAACACAACACAAAACAACAACAATAACGCAGCCGGTAATTCACGCTTGCCGCTCTTCATTTCAACAACCGCCTCTAATTAAAAATGTCGCCAGCATCCCTGCAGACGTCACTAATCACCTAGGCATCGGTTACTATGGAGACGCGCCGTCGGCAGCATCCACGTCGGCACGGTGAGATGATTCATGCGCTGATGCGGCGATCCCACAGGTAATACAGCTGCAGCACTGCTGCTCTCTCTCTCTCTCTCTCTCTCTCTCTCTCTCTCTCTCTCTCTCTCTCTCTCTCTCTCTCTCTCTC